TCTGTCTACGTATCTATCATCTAATCTATCATCATCTATCTAACAGCTTTCATCTAAGCATTTACGCTCTTTACCTCCCTACCTCCTTTCTTCCCTCTGTCATCCTTCCCTTCCCAACTTCCCCTTCCTCTCTCCTTCTCCTCCTCCTCCCCACCCCTTGCCCTCTCTCCTATCCTCTCTCCTAATGCATATTTAGGCAGTGGTGAGGACAAAAGCGAGGGAGGAACGCAAGTCACAAGTCACGGCAACTTTGAGATTGAGTCACTTGATAGATAGGTAGGTAGGTAAATAGAGTAAATGCTTAGATGAAAGATGTTAGATAGATGATGATAGATTAGATGATAGATACGTAGACAGACCGAGAGACAGACATCCAGACAGACCTACATAGTTTTATGAGCGAAAACTGAAAAGTTAAACCCTTTCTCCAACAAAGCCTGCTAAATTTAATTTCCGAAAAACAATGTGGGATGCCTTTCTGCCAAAGGACTAACCACAGGTTCTAAAGAACTACAGCTGAAATACTTGAAATAGTGAAGTCTTGCAACTAAAGGTTGCAACTGAACCAGAAATAATAAGTCCAACTTTCAAATGCGTTTAAAAGCAAAGAATTTCAGAAATCCAGATATATTTTCAAAATTGTACAAAGTTTTCAAATAGAATTGCCCTGATATTTAAAAATGTTAAGTGAACACAGTATACATGCATTACTGTTCAATAGTTTTTTGCTAATTACACCCTCATAAATGATCTTAAATAATTATTTAAGATCCCAGATGCCTATTAGTGATTTGCTGCTTTGAAAAATTAACATAGCCAACTTACATTAACATGTTTCCACAGATGACATAAAAAGGTAACTCTCTACTAGACTTTGTTAATTGCAACCTTTTATTCCTGAAACTCCATTGAAGTTAGAGATGGAATTCTGCTACAATGCAAAGCTTTGCCTTTTTGAACCATCACACAGTGAAAACTCAGTAATTTTTTTTGCACCTCTGAATCTTCCTAAGCACTTTCTAAGCAGTAGTAATAATGCATACTGTATTAGTAAAAACCTGCACAAAATTCATACATTCAGGAAAACAATATATAATAGCATTCCTATTTAACCAAAATATCAAACCAGTATATATAAGCCATATTACAGACAATTGCACATATTTTGAAAAGATATGTATTAAAGTCAGAATACACCAGGGGTGTCAAACTCACGGTGTCACAACGGTGTCACATGATGTATCCTGACTTTCCCACCTCCCTTCACTAAACTGGACATAGGTGTGGCCAGCACGTGATGCATTTGGCCCGCAGGCCACAAGTTTCATGGCCCTGGTAGACACCAAAGAGAGATAAACTAAAATGGACAAATTAAAGAAAAAAAAGCTACAAAGAATGACAGGTTGTGAACACAAGATCGATTCAAATTTATTTCAATTGTACATGTCAGGATGTATTGTGATTAGTACATCCTTGGGAATGGTAACAAGGCACTGTCAGATGAAAGATGCGAAACTAGAATGAGAGCTCTATTAGCTTGCTGCTGCTCAATTTATTGTATTCGTAAATGAAAACAGTTGAACTGAATATGTTACACACTATCAAATGGCAGACTTGTGAAGCCATGAAAAAAAAATCCATTATGCAAGATAAGGGAGACAATAACTTCCTCTTTGTGTGGTTTGTGTAGCTGAGTTGCCAAAGAGAACTGCACAGAAAACCTTCACAAGTCAAGCTGTCAGCATGGACCAAGACATGGTTGGATACATTGTTCTCCTGGTGATTGTCACCCTCCTAAGTGTCATCCAAAATGGTAAGACTGAAGGTTGTATATGAAACCAAGAATTGTATACAAACCCAAGAAAGAAAGATATATTTTGCTTTGGGTGGGTGGATTGATGTGTTTTCATGGACTTGTTTTTGAATGCCTTCGTGCCTGTTGATATTATTTGAAAATTTCCAGCTATTTGCTTTTTTTTTTCTTCAGTGTTGGGGGGTTTCATGGGTTAAAGTCAGCAGTTTTAATAGTATGCTTTTATGTATTTAAAATGGATTAATAGTATGCACCTTCAACTAAAATTGAGAAAAAAAGTTGTGGAAAAGTTGGATGTGACAAATTTCAAACCGGACTAGAAATGTATTATCCAGCCCTATATTTACATGACTTAAAGCATTGACTTGGCTTAATTCCTCAGCTCTCAAATATATGATTAGCATCAGAGGGGTTTCATGAACAGTTCTGGCCCTCCCTCCCTCCCTTCCATTAAATTCACTTCCTTTTTAATGATCCATCATTTTCTTTCAATAAGCTCATTCCTTTGCTGTTGTTAAAACTAACAATAACCCCTATGTGTGTTTTCTCTTTACAACTATTTTAGTTCCTTGTAAGTGAGTTATAATAGTTTTCATTTATTTCTTGAAGCTTGCTGCTTATTTTGAGCAACATTTTTTTCAGAGGGAAAAAGGATATGTATTTCTTTCTAAAGACAGCTATAACTATAACAACCACCTGCCTTGTACTGATTCAGGCTTGTTGATACATAGAGTTAAGTATTGGCTAAACTCTACAGTGATGGGAAAAGTTCTACAGGTGTTTAGAGTGGAAATGCCAGGAATTAAGTCTAGAATTTTTGCATGTAAAACATGGAATCTACCACTCATTTGCAAGTCTTCCATTCCATTTCCTTGTTCTCTGCTTGACTGGATGAGATGATAAAAATGTCCAGGAAAGGTAAGGGGAATGAGAAGAGGAAGAAGGGTTAGGCCATTTCCTCACTCGTCATGTAAAGCATCTTTTTGAATCATGCAACCATCTTTATGCAGAAATATTAGACATTTATATGCTCTAGCTAGTAAAATAATGGCCTTAATAATGCTCTCTTTTGAAGACTTTAATTTCAGTACGCAGATATTCATGCAAGCTTCATATCCAATGAAATGGTTGTGAAAATTCCAGATAAAGAGCTGAACACATACAGACACAAAAAGAGGGGGATAGAAAGAACCCCATTGCAGATGTATTGAAACAATTTAAGTGTATTTATGGGTACAGGAACAAAACCATACTGTACATTCCATTTTGTTTTAAATGGATTGGAAGTAACTTTACTAGCAGTCTTCTATCTTCTCTCTTTAGCTTCAACTCCTTGAAATAGTAGCATGAGATCAGTAAAAAAGTAACTGGACACAATAATTGGGAACTAACCATGATACAAATATGTCCTGGCATCATTTCTGTTAAGTTCCATGGCATTGCTTTCATCAAGTCCTCAAGCCTATGAATGGGCACTTAGTTATAGAATTAGTTTTGGAGTAGTGTTTTCCCCCTTATTCCAAATACATCCAAACCCAACCTTGGTTGTATAAAATCTCATAGGCTCTATCAACCACCAGGAAAGAAAAGCAATAGAAGCAGAATAAGATCAGCACATTACATACTAGTAGAATTTCCAACTGATTCAAGAACCAGTGGGGGAGACATCAGCTCAGCCATGGGGAAAGACAGCTAAGAAGGGTCTTCCTAGGGCAATATTTTCAAGTGCTAGCTTAGAACCATTTATCTGACATTTTTTTCTTAAAACTTTTTGAAGAATCACATGTCCATTCTTGTACAGGCCAGTATAATATGTTCCCAAATCATTTAATAAGAACAGAAAGAAATTAAAGTGAGTGCTCCTTGGTGCTCTCTGAGAGTGGTGGTTTTCTTGTAGATGTTTCATTGCCCAGACTAGGTAACACTGAAGGTAACATCATCAACGCTACTCGCACTGATGATATTACCTAGTTTGGGTGATGAAACATCTGCAAGAAAACAACCAACCTCAGAGAGCACCAAGGACCACTCATTTCAATCCTGAGCTACAAATATCCTTCTTTTTTAAAAAGTACATGGAAGTGAACTTTAAAGCAGAGAAGAGAGATACCAGTTGTCCTCTGCTTATTGATTCAATTCAATCTTTTATTATGGTCACAGACCATAATAAAGATTAAAACATTAAAATAAAATAAAACAGAATAGAAGACATAATAGTGTATTGCAATTAATGATGGAATCATCGAAGGCTGACCAATGTGCTAGAGTTAGGGTCCTCCTAAAATTTAGAGACAGTTATATGATATACCGTATTTTTTTCGGACTATAAGACGCATGGGAGTATAAGACACACAAAGATTTCGAAGAGGTAAACAAGGAAAAAACAGTTTTTGTTCTCGCTGGCCCCCAGGAACACTCTGCCGGCCTCCCAAACCCTCTGTGTGTCCCATTTTTGCAAAAACGGGGCACGCAGAGGGTTTGGGAGGCTGGCAGAGTGCTCCTAGGGGCTGGAGAGGGCAAAAACGGCACTCTGGTGGGTTTGGGAGGCCAAAAATGTGCCCATTTTTTGCCCAGTTCTTCAAACCAAAAATGGACACACAGAGGGTTTGGGGGTCCTGCAGAGTGCCCTTGGGGGCTGGGGAGGGGAAAAGCAACCCCCATTTTTGCAAAAAAACAGATCCATTTTTGCCTCCGACCCCCCCTTCACATTTTTGCTCTCCCCAGGCCTCCCCATGCCCTGCAGAGAGCATTCTGCAGGCCTCCCAAACCCTCTGCGCACCCCGTTTTTGCGAAAAACAAGCCTGTTTTTGGCTAAAACAGGACCCGCAGGGTGGGGTTTCTAGAGACCACAAATGGCCGTATTCAGTGTAATAGACGCATCAACATTTCCACCCTCTTTCAGGGGGTGGGGAAAGTGTGTCTTATATTCCGAAAAGTATGGTAAAAATCTTGCTGGTTTGTGAAGGGAGGTCAGACTGTTAAAGAAAACATTCTTGAGTAGAGCAGATGGATCCTGTTGGACTTCCTGATTTTAAATACATTGTCTAAGTGCACTAAGGCCACGCTCATAGCCCATCAATAGGAACTCCTCCCTGCAGAAGCCTGGTATGTTGAATTTTCAGTGAAATAGTCCTAATCCATGTTGACATATAATTATCCTCCATAAGAAGAGGGCTGAGACCTGTGGGAAAGAACAGTAATTTCAGCCAGCATGCTATAATGCAAATCTACCCAGGCATCAGTTTCGACTTTGTGCAAACTGCCCCTCTTCTTACTATTGGGTTAGAAACATAGGGTGCTAAAGCCCTTAGAAATTTGGATTGCATTCTTTTTTTTTCTGTTAATTTTTTTTATGTTTTCTCTCATTATTATCCTCTCACTTTTTCATATACCTCCTTTCTGCAATGTTCAAAACTAACCCATATTTTTAATGGATGAAATATGGAAAATTATTTCCAGCATTGAAAGAGAGTTTGTGTGTGGAAAGAATTAAGTTCCATCATGATCGTGTTTCTCCCCTGAAATGTTATCCAAAACTGCCTTTCATTTAAAAAAAATGGAATCCAGGCTTCATAGATATGTGCAAATAAAGTCCAGATGAGCTCAGAAGTACTCTCTGCAGGCAGCAGTAGGTGAATTTTCTGTTACCTTAAGGGTACGTCAATGCACAGGGTGGGTGGCACATAACTCCACCACTGCTCTGGTTTTGTGAATCAATCTGAACTGGATGCAGAGATACGAGTGCAAAACATAGACAAAGGAAGTACAACATTTGGAAAGAAGTTGAGGTTTCTTTTCAGGAAGTTGTGATGCAACTGTGCAGATGGACTTTTGTTGTTTGGGGGGGGGAAAGGGGGGAAATTAAAAAAGAAGATTGGTCTTTCAGATAATTGCGTTAAAGTGCTTCCACTGGGCCTAAAAAGCATGTCCAACGCCAACTATGCTATCCCATAGTTATCATTCTTGTGTGACAGAAATCAGGCCAGCTTTCCTTTTCCTGGTGCCAAGTCATAGAAAGGAACTTGGGATTCCTCTGGTTCCATCCCATTTAAAATATGATGATCCTGGTTTAGAAGCGTTAAGCCACTTGCTTAAGGAGGGGATGAAGTAGAAGGGAGCTTTTTCCAAATTCAGGCTCAGGATGACTCTTCCTCCATACCAGTAGTGGGATTCAGTTATTTTTACTACCGGTTCTATGGGAGTGGCTTTGTGGGCGTGGAGTGGTTTTGTGGGCGTGGCGTAGCTTTGTGGGCGTGGCAGGGGAAGGATACTGCAAAATCTCCATTCCCACCCCACCTAATTAACCTGCTTTCCAGCTCCATTCTCCTGTTCAGGGCAACAAAAGAAGATCAGCTGGGAGGCTGGGAGGCAGCAGGAGTAGGGGCAGCCTATTTGCCGGTTCTCCGAACTACTCAAAATTTCCGCTACCGGTTCTCCAGAACCTGTCAGAACTGGCTGAATACCACCTCAGCTCCATACCTAGGATCAGGCAATTGGGTGTTTCTGAGTATGGATTTATCATTTTACCCTACATATAAGCCTATGTTCAAAAATAGCCTGGATTACAAGTCACACATCCAGACTAGAATGTGGGGTGAAGCAAAATAAGATGTTAAAAACTAACACAAACTAATATTAAGTAAAGACCAAAAAAGCAAGCGATCAAGAAAAAAAAGCAAAAAGTGCAAGAAAAGAGCAGTCCTGTTTTGACCTCATAATCATAACCAGCAATGTTCTGGAAGTATCTGAGAAACACCCATTTAGATAGTAATAGTGATTGTGATTCATCAAAGCATAACAGCAACAGTAATGACAAATGGCATCTTAGTATGTCAAAACCGGAACAGTGTTGAACATGCAACACTCCCCCCCCCCACACACATCCCAGTGCTTTGATATTGGTCACAGTGATCATTTTAGAATTCATCCTTGACCAGGAGCAAGACGGATAGACACAGTGGTGATGGGTGCATCATGGCAGATCTGAAAAGACTAGGTCA